TTGCATGCATGTTAGAAACAATGTTCTTCCTATATAGGATTATTAACATGCATCGCCCATCATTACTTTGATTGAATCCATGTTTAGAACCATCTATCCTAAACATACCCACCTCAAGTTAATATGTCATATCAAATGGATACCATATCACACTTAAAATTGGAAAATGGTACAACAATATCTAAGTCCTTAAATAAACATTTACATAAAAAAATGTAATCCTTGGGTAGTGACAAATCTTGACTTTTGATTTTTGGGGAACAAAATAATTTATTATTATTAAAGAATAAATGAATATGAAAAGATAAAAAAAGATGAAAAGATGAGAGGTTAAAATTGTAAATATGGTATACTAAATGATCATTAAGTTTGGGGGACAAAAACCATAAATGTATATATAAGTTATAAAACTTTGAGGAAACCATAACCCCCATCGGCTCCCAAAAAGGTTTTTCACTAGTCCTCATAATTTAAAATAAACTTCAAATAAACACAATCAAAAGAAGAATATAACACAAACTCTACATCAGAATCAAAACATATATTGTAAGCTTTACAAATATCCAGTTATACTCACGATCATAAATAAAAGAAAACCTAGTCTTCCGAACTCCTCTAGTAGAGTTCAAACCTATCTTAACTACCGTTTTAGGAGATGTTTTAGTTGTCATTGCAACAATGGAGGAAAAACTCTTATATCCACAAAAGAAGAATTGACTCTCAATCAAAAAAGAAAAGGAAACATAGTTTTTTGAACCCCTCTAATAGGGTTTGAACCTACCTTAACTACCATTTTTTGAGATTTTTTAGACGCCACTACAACAATGGGAGGAAAAACTCTTATATCCACAAAAGAGGAATTGGAAGAACCTTTTTCTCTGGTAGATTTTATGCCAATGGGAGGAACTTCGCGTTTACCCATCAATGACCTAGTGAACGTAAAACTGTTAGAATCAGTAGAAGAACTAAAAACATAAGACATGATATCAAGGATTGAGAATTAAAAAGTGTACTAAAGGGCTAAAAAACACTTGAAGATGGAAGCTCAAGAAGAAGGAAATCTAAAAACTTGAAGGGCACAGTATAACACTCAAAACATTTACCTATCTTCATACATGACTTTTAAGATGAAAACCTTATGACGATGCATTAATTGTTAAAACCATCATATGTAAAATCTCTCATTAATGTGGGTTAGAATCAATCATAACGTATGTAAGAAATAAAAAAAGTTCTTAAATATCTGTATAACATTTATAGCAATTCCAAATCTAATCATCAACTTAACAAATCTAAACACAAAGTTTGACAAATCATGAACTCAATACTAAAATCAAATTATTTTGTCCTTATTATATTTAAGACTCGAGCTTGAAACTTATATACATATTTGAATTTCTATATTCATTGCATTTATTATATTTAATAAAAATATTTTTTGTTATAATGTACAATAAATATACCTAATTATTTGGTTATATATAATATTGCATTAAAAAAATATAATAATCAATATTAAATAAATATGAAACATGAGTTAAAATAATCCTACTTAGAGTCCTATAAATAAGACTATTATATTTTTTTACACACATTTAACATTCAATTTTCTTGTTATTCCAATACATCATCATATATCAACTTAAACATCCTTAGGAATTCATTACTAAGATCGAGTTATTTTCTTCTTGCTATTACCAATATAATTTATTGGACATTGTATTTTTTACCAAAACAAATTTGACTTAAACTCATTTAGATCCCAGACTAAATGAGTAAGATCAAATTTGTTTTAATTCAATTTATACTAAAATTTTATAATTTAACATAACTCATTTTTTAAGTTTTTGAAACTAATACATGAAAAGAAACCTATTTTAACCCTCTTCCTTCTTTAAATCCTTCAAATTTAATCTAGACTTATTAAATAATATTAATAAACTTTTCAGAATAACAAAACTAAAGTTAATTAGTCTTCTTCCACGTACATACCAAAGGAATATCACAAACAAATCCTATAATGAATTTGAATTTCAACATTTTCATATACTAATTATAAAAATACTATACGACCTAAATAATATTTTCATAGACTAAATACAACCTAATCTATATATTTTTAATATTAAGGGACTCTATTTATAATAAATTTTTAATTTAATTTGTAAATATATACTAAAATATAACATATATTTAAAATTAATTATACATTATTTATTATTTAATTTATTAAATAATTATATAAGTATCCACATGATTTCTATGTTAAATTAATGGACTTTTCTTTTATCTTATTTTAGCTTTTTTAAGATGAGAAATATATTTTAAGATTCGACAAATTGGTGGTTTGCCGAATATATTAAGTTCGCCCCGCCCTTTTTCAAAATTTATATACTAAAATAATGTAATTTTTTGTTTAGTTATTTATTTGAATATATATTTACAAAAAAAAAAAACAATGGAAAACATATTTTTAGTCCAGACTTTCTTTCTTTTATAATATAAGATAAGTAAGACTTTTTTATAACCTTTACATTTTGGGAGAAAATTTATTTTATTTTATGATATCATTGATATATATAAAGAAAAAAGAGGAGTAAAGTTATTCTCATTAATTTAAATAAAGGAAACATTACAAGTTGTTAAGGATCTTAAGCGGTAGAATTGGCTTATTTAAATAATCAGAAATTGGAATTTATGTAGTTAATTAAGAAAAAGTTTGAGTGATAGGCTAATAAGGGAAAGTGATGGTGCAATGATGTATGATGAGGTGTGCTTCTAAAATGGACACGTAAGCACGCACATTGCACGTGATCATCTTTAGTACTCCTTCCTTCTTCCCCACAACAACCAATACAATACGGAGTGGGAGTAGTGTCACCGCTATCACCCCACACACGCACACACTCGCTACCTCCTTTCTCGCTCATTCTTCACCGACAAACACAAAATCCCTTCCCTTTTCTCGGAATATTATTTTCCCTCTTTTATTTTTCGTAAAGTAAACAAAAAAAAGGCCCAATTGTCGCCATTCCTTTCATTTCCCTTTGGACCATACGCACGCGCTCTGCATTCTCTCGCACCCAAATTCAACCAATGTGTCCATCTAATCCTACCTTTTGAAGCTCAATTTGGGATCTCGTTGGCGGATCTCAATTCCTCAAATCCAAATGCATGGTTACAGCCGCCTAGGCGGAGCAGCGCGGTCGCCGCCGTCGTCGCCGCGGTTCCGCCACGGCCGGAGCAAGAACAGTAGCTGGGGTTCGTCCAAGGAGAGCAATTCCATGGAGAAGTTGGTCTTTATTCTTATGTCGGCAGTTTTCAGAAGACGAGGTTTGCTTCTGTTTGCACCTTTGCTGTACATTTCGGGAATGTTGTTGTATATGGGTTCCTTTAGCTTCGACGTTGTCAGTATAAAGAATGGTGTCGTTCTTGTACACAAGCGTGCTCCTCCCGGTTCTGTTTATAGGAGTCCTCAGGTCTTCGAAAACCTATGGCCGTTCATGGAGGCTGAGGCCGCCAATGCTAATAATGGAACTGTCAAAACGGTACTTAATCTTTCTCTTTCCTTTTTCATTCCTGCACTACGGTCTCGTGATACTTCATTCTACGTTTGAAATTGACAACAACTAATTCCCATGTCTCTTACCATTGCTGTAAAAGTAGAAGGCATTTAGTGCCACTTGAGTTAGGGCTCTGCTGTACTGCTTTTGTTGCTATTGATGATCAATCTGCTGTTCTATTTTTTCAACTGGAATTAATTGGCTGTGAATCTGAGATGATAATCATGCAGTTGATGAAGGCATGGACTAGAAAGGAGCTTACAGAGTGGAGGCCCTGTGCTAACAGAAGTATTTCTGAAACAGGTCTATTCTTCTCTGGATGACAAATTGTCCAATCTTCAAATTTTGTGTTAGGTGGTTGTTGCATGGAAATTTTTTTACCGCTTTTTGTCTACCTTGTTTCTTTGGCAGTTAGCTGTCCTCCATTATATTTATTTTCAAGTTCCCATTTAGGTCTAGAATCTTGATTATTTATTTTATTCCTTATTCTCTTTGTTGAAGGAATTTGCTAACCCTTTTCTTGTCAATTTTTCCCATATTTTTTTTCCTTAGAATTGCCAAAGTCAAATGGGTTCCTTATAATTGAAGCAAATGGTGGATTGAATCAGCAACGCTTGTCGGTATGCCTATTGATGAAACGAAAGATTTAATATTTTACTGGTTTGTTTATCTGGGATTCTTATATCATGTTAAGTACACAGGAAGGGTGGTTGCATTCCCTTTGTTGAGGGATTCCCATTTTTCTATGCTGAAAATAAATATTTCATGGAGGGGTTAATACAATTCTAGTCCTCATTATATAGAACCGTGAATTAAGCATGGAATATCATTGTTTTTGTCTTTGCTTGCATTGCATGTACCAAAATGTACTGGTAAATGGAAATGGTCATGTCATTCAATTTTCATCACGTAGAATCACCATTCTGTATATTAAACATGCACTGAGTCCCTTGTGAATGGATGCAACGGAATTTGAATCATGTAGATAGGAGGGATTGGAATGCTGTTAATGGTGATTTTCTTCAACAATCATTTGTTTCAAAATTGGATACCTAAAGAGTTATATCTAAAAGGCTTTATGTGGTTGGTGCATATTTTTCTCCTAATGTTTCTCCTTGTGTCATTTTGCTCTGAATGGAAGTATGATGATATACTTTCAGGCTTACACGGTTAATGAATTTAGATGAAGGACATTGATTCTGCAAATTGTATCTGCTTTATATCACATGTCCTTATTTTATAGCACTTATTATACTACTCTTTATGCAGATATGTGATGCTGTTGCTGTGGCTGGACTACTAAATGCAACTCTTCTTATTCCTATATTTCATTTAAATAGTGTATGGCGAGACTCGAGGTGATTGCTATTCTTATGCTTAATTTTAAGATTGGTGACATAATTATGGTGGTAATTTATTCATGTTTAATGGCTATTCAATCTCATCGTTGTACCTATACCACTTTTTGTTTTTACAACTATATCATTTACATACTAGGAATCTGAATTTGTAAAATGGTTCATGTTTCATTAATACATTCTCTATACCCACCGTTTATATGACTGGCATGTAGGATAGGTCTGTTAGGATCTCAGATCAGAAATTTCTTTTAGATGATGAAATCTTTGGATTGGGCTTTATATTTAAGGATTATAAATTATCTCAGAAAGAACTAATCAACTAATACCAAACATCTTTGTGAAGGGCTGAAGGAATATCTTTAACCATCAGTTGAGTTTTGAGATTAGGTACAATGTAGAGCACCCTTCTGTTTTTCTAGAATGGACAATTTCTTAACTTTTACTTACGTGGAAAAATGAATATCTTTCACTGATAGAATCAGGAGATATAGATACGAATAGGAGATTAATTTTGTATGCAAATCAAGACTTAATCAGGGATTTTTTTCCTTTAAATGTTATAGATAAAGAATGGATAGAAGGAAATACAACACATTCTAATTACATCAAATCCTAATATTGTGCTGTGCATGCACTAATCAGATCACTTCAATTCTGATCGATTTTCACTGATCAAATCCCTTGATCTTGATTGCTTTCCTTAATTGTCAACAATTTCGTATCAGTATTAATTCCAAAATCCAAATCAACCTCCATTCTCTGTAATTTATCACTGCAGACATATCGATAAGTTTCGGAAGTGGGAATGGATATGCGTACTTATATCAGTTTGGATTTGGTCTTTTACTTTCTAAACTTTACGAAACCATTGAAAATGTTAGTAGCATATTCACTTTGAACAGAACCACTTTAATCTTCAGAACTTATCTTAATCTTTCTGGTAAATATACCAAGCTTGCTGTCAGTTACAAATATTGAACTGAGAGTATTAGTTGCCAGTGGCTTACTCTGAAGCATTTAAAGGAATTACTTTTGGATAGAATGACTTGAATCCTTTTTGTGCATAAGTGATACATCTGAAGTGCAACATTGGTTTAGTTTTTGTCTATGTGGAACCGAGTCCTTTAGTTTTTAATAATCTATTTGTACTTTCTTAATATATATATATATATTTCTTGGGCAATCAAAAAAATGGAATGGTAATTTTATAATCCATGCTTTTAGCGTAACAGAGTTATTCTTCTTTATGTTGTAAGCTGACTGGCTCTCTGCCAAGTCAGCATGTTTGATTCTTAGTTAATTAAAACTGTTGTCTGTTGTTGCCAGCTCAACAAAGTCTGTTAGAACTTCTCTGTACACTATATAAACTGTTGTCATTGTTTGAGATCAGATTATGAAAAACATACAAAAGTTCTCGAATATTTTCTCTCAATTAGCTTCTTAGAATTCTACACATGCTAATAATTAGTGATGCTGTTCATGTATTATAAATTTGAAAATTTATGCCTCATCTTGATATCTGGCAGCAATTTTGGCGACATTTTTGATGAAAATTTCTTCATACAATCACTTGGAAATCATGTGCATGTGGTGAGAGAACTCCCTGATGATATACTCCAACGATTTGACAATAACATAAGTAATATTGTCAATCTTAGAGTAAAAGGTTGGTCTAGTTCAGCTCACTATCTTCAGAAGGTCCTTCCTCAGCTTTTGCAAATGGGGTGTGTGCCTTTCTATCTTTTGTTTTCTACCATTGGTTGGCTTCCAATTCTTGTGCCATGTTTTTAATCTTCTTATCTTTTCCATTAAGTTCAGTTATTCTCAATAGTACTTAACATATATGACTTCTTAAATTGGATGTGTCATCACGGGAAGAATGAGAATCCTTCAAATCCATTAATGTAAATAAAATCCCAAACAACAAAATGTTTAAGAAAAGGACTTACAATACAAAGCCTGTATATAGAACATAGACACTGCTAAATACCTGATTTTTGGTCCCCAACAAATAACAGCTAATTACTGTATAGTGTCCCTGTTTGCCTGGTAGCTGTATCATACTTCACTGGCAATTGCTGCATTTTTTACAAACATGGTGTAGAAAACCCATTCTTAAAGTATAAATAACAAAGAGATGTAAGGGACAATACACTTACGTATTCACACAACAAAGTATTCTCCCATGCTCTAATGTTGATAGATATGCCTGAATTGTGCTATAATTTGGTGCTTCATCATGTCAGTTTCACTCTTGTGTAATGAATACTTTGCTGTCATACAATTTTCTGATTAGATGATGATAATCTCTTTAGACATCTGGTATCTGTTAGGATTATGTAAACAAACATTTAAAACATAAAAGTAGAAATGCAGTAGATTAACATCATATGAAAGTTGGGTAGATGATTTTAATTTAAAATCTACTTGCCTAAAAAGCTGTTGGTTTTTGTGGTTCTCCCTTTTGTCTAGGAGCAAATGCAGGCTGATCATGTTGAATTTGTTGTGATCTTTTATCATTATTACAATTGCTGTTCTTCATTTTTTTACAGCCAGTTTGCCATATATTTTGTACATGGCTCCTAAGAGGAATTTGCTCATGCTTGTTGCAGGGCTGTTCGCATTGCCCCTTTCTCCAACAGATTAGCTCAAGCTGCACCCTCAAAAATCCAAGGGCTTAGGTGCTTTGCCAACTTTGATGCTCTTAGATTTTCCAAACCTATAAGAACACTTGCAGAAAGCATGGTTGATCGGATGATTAAATATAGCTCCCAAAGTGGAGGGAAATATGTTTCGGTGCATCTTCGTTTCGAGGAGGTGTTTTTCTAGTATCTTTGTTCCTATGTTGTTGGGTTTACCAGATACATTAATACCTTTTTGATAATTTAAGGACTTTACCTCACCCATAGATATATCATTACATTTTAGCTTTGATACTTGATATTTTATGACTTATAAATACCCTATTGATCGCTTAATGTCTCTTTTTGCAAATTATTGATAAACAGACTATTGTCAACTTTTAAGTTCCCTGTGTTTTGCTCCCTTGTTTCTACACCAATTGATATTCAGATCCTTGTCGTTCACGTTCAAACTATATGTTGCACCAGATAACTTTTCTCTGGCTATTTTCTATAAATTGGGCAAGGGCTAAAGCTTACGTGTGCCTGAAATATTCATTTTTTCATTCACTGAATGGTAGTACAAACCGATCAATGAAAACTGAACCAATTTCTGCATAAAAGACTGCTGAAATGAGCTCATCTAGAGTCTTATATTTCTGGATACTCTCTGAAATCATCCCGGGGTGTTCAATGAAGAAAGCAAAATCAGATCCAGGAGGTGCGTAATGGTCTCCATGCAATATCAAATACCCGAAGAGTTGCATGCATCTCTCTCTTGCGGATACACTGTTCTAAGCAATGAATAAGCCTGCATGAGACTTCTTTATTGCTCTCTGTCAACTGCAGAGAAGAGGATGCAGTATTTTTCTTGTTGAGCGTCTTGAAATAGTGAAAGATGTTTACCTCTGCAGAATAGAGTTCTAGCAGGAGGATAATGATGTGGAATAAATACAGTTTAGGATAATTTAGAATATTTTTATGATTTATTTACCCATATATCTAGATATGTTAATTCATTTCAGCATTTAGTATTTGTTCATCTGATTGGACTTGACTATGTGTCTACTGTATGATTTAATATCAATCAATTCCCTTTTGCTGCTAGACTTTACAAATAGTTAATAAATAGGCTTTTGTGTATTTTATGTGAGTTGTTATGTGTTTTGGCTATTTAGTTTTAAATTAATTATATATTATTTATTATAATTGTTTTTCTCTGTATAAAGGATATGGTTGCATTTTCATGCTGTGAGTATGATGGTGGGGAGGAGGAGAAACATGAAATGGATATTGCTCGTGAACGGAGCTGGCGAGGTAAATTCAGAAGAAAACATAAAATAATAAAGCCTGGTGTTAATCGTGTGGATGGAAGATGCCCGTTGACTCCATTGGAGGTATGCAGTTACAGATTCTTGTGCTTCCTCTGTTGGGTCTTTTAATGTTTTCCTCATAATCATAATTGTGCTGTTTAATATCCTTTGGAAAATAAAAGGAAATACCAGTTTTCATAATTATTTGTTGCTTGTGCTTTGGCTATGCAGTTATGCTTTTTCTTTTATAGAAAAGATGCATATGGTTGATGCCTTAAAACCTAAATAGTCGGTTGCACTTTTTTATCTTGCTATAAATTTGATTTGAACACAGTAATTATTCCTAACGATTAGTAAATAGGATTTTCTGAAGCTTGATTTTGGGTCTTATTTTTTTAAAATTGATTAATTCGTCTCAAACTTCAAAATATACATGAATTTAGTATTTATATAAATTTTATGACGAAACTGTTGCTGAATTAGGCGTAAAGAAAGACTCAAAGCACATTATATGAATTTAGTCATTTTATCAATTTTGTGACAGCAAAATACCATCATTAAATATTAAATTTAGGTATAAAGGATTAAAATCACACATTTTCAAAAATTGAATATTTAAATAATCAATTTGAAAGTACAAGACCACAACCAAGTTTGAAGAAAAGAGTATAAGGATTAAAAATATATTTTTCTCTTTAATTTTTTATTATTATCACTATTTAGTTACTATATTTATATTATATATTATGCTTTATTTATTTATATTTTGAATATTACTATATTTATTATTATTAATTATTATTCTTCAGTTATATTTTAAATAACTGTTTTCCTCGTCCATTTTTTTTTTTTTTAACAAACACACTGAAAAGTGTTGGGTTCAAATAAGATATAAATTGAGACCCAACAAATAAACACACACCACTTCCTTGTCGGGTAGTGCGGCAAGTGAAGCATCAACAACACTGTTTCAGGCGTTTATTAGGCTCAACGTGAAAAAGCTGCAGCGGCCGCGAATTCCATTTTTCCCATTTTTGGAGGGTGATTTCGCGCTATCTCTACAGTTAATCATAGCAAGATGCGATAGGTTATACAAGAGCGGGAGGGTGCTGTTCTGCTCCACAGCACTGTGACTGTGGCATGTTCAACATCTACGAAACAGATGAGATAAGGTGCTAGAGATCCACACAATTAACACCCAAAATTAAGACCCAATTAAACTCGCAGAACTTTTTCCTGAAATTGCAATTTAACATGAGTTTGAGCAAGTTTACTGGAGTTTGCACGAGCTAACTCAAAACCGAGTTTGTAATCGAGTTAGCAAGTTTTATGAATGTAGAACTTGTACGAGTTAACTTGCGCTTTGGATAGCCATGAACATATAAAGCTATTAAGTATAAGATGAAAAAAATAAAGTGCAAGTTACAACACTTTCGAGGACACCATATAAATACTGTAACAATACCCTTCCCTTTAATTGCAGCTTTGTCTTCAATGCTGAAAAGTGGGGAACTTGAGAAGATCATAGTCAAACTCCAAGGTGGCGTGCTCAGGAGGCAAATTCTTCCATTTAACCATAACATTAGTGGCACTAACATGTCACCTCTTGACCATTTTCCTGTCCAAAATTGCCTCGGGCTCCCCTCTCTTGAAAACTAATAAAGAATTGGATGGTAAAGGGTGAGTAGTAGCAGAACCTAGATATAATTAGATGGAAAATGGCCTTTAGATGCAGGTGACCCTCCATAGGGGGACTGTAGATGAGAATATTGTCAAAGTAATAACAAATCTGCTTAACAAAGGGACATAAAATGTTGTTCATCAATGCTTGGAATGATGCCAGAGCATTTGTTAGCCCACATGGCTTAATTGAATACTCAATACCCTGCATGAGTTTTAATTGTTGTTTTGTATTATTCACCAACAACTATTTTCAGTTGATGATATCCAGACCTTAAGTCCAACTTGGAATATGCTGTCAACCCCCCTGATCATCCATCAATTCTTCAATAAGAAGAATAGGAAAATGATCTTTATTGGTTTGTGGATTCAACTGCCAATAGTCTATACAAATTCTCCGATAACCATCAATTTTTAGTAAACCACCAATTTAGTCCTTGAAATTATTAAAGTTCATCGAGTTGGTCCTTGAATTTTATAAAATAATAAAATTATCCATAATTTTGGATATGACCAAATAATTTAGTCCTTTTAATTATAATGGACAATTAAATTCATCTGTGAAATAAATAAAATGGTGAAATGGTCCTTAAAATTGTATCAATTTTATAGTCTCTGAATTGAAATTGTAATAATAAAACAAATTGGACCATAGTTGTGAAGGTTTTAATTGCACCCTTTTTACTAAATGTATGTTAATATTTGGCTAGTGATTTAGAAATATTCTAAGTGCAATTAAATCTTTTACAATTGGGGACCAATCTTACTACTACAATTTCAATAATTAAATTGACTGATAATTTTTAATTTGAAGGACCATTTCATCATTTTATGTATTTCAAGGATGAATTTGACTGTCTTTTATAATTTCAAGGCTAAATTGATTGATGATGTACAATTCCAGTGATTATTTTCCAATTTTATCAAGTTCAAGAATCAATTTGGCTAACTATTACTATTTTCAAGAACTAAATTGATAGTTTACTCATCTTTATTTCCAACCAACAGTGCTGTGGTGATGCATAGGGACTATTACTGTGCTTAATAATTCCCTGGTTAAGCATTTAGTGAACTAGGTTATTTACTGACTTATTGAACAATTGAATACCTATAAGGTCTATGATCAAACCCAATTCCACAAGGGCGTAAATGTTTTACCTCTGCAAATATGTCATTAAACTCTGAGATAAGATCATCTATTTCAACTGGAAAATTGGGAACTTGTGCATTATAGCGTGCATTTCGAAATGATTAACGAACATAAAATATACACAATTGAGCCCCTTGTTGAACAGTGTGTGTAAAGGTTTTAATATCTTAATGCTGGGAGGGTAGTCTCCCCTCAAAAATTTCATTTAACTTAAGGTTAATAGAGAAAAAATATATCTTCAGGGCTTATGGGACCCTTCTCCCTTTCTTCTATTTCTTCTATTTATAATGGAAATCTGATACAATGAGACATAGAAGACTAAGAGATTGCAACTAGGACCCTAGGTGTAGATCTAGATACGGATGTAGGAGGTTTCCCACACTCAACACCCTATACTTAGGTCTAATGATAATACTAGGAAGTAATGATTCTAACACCCCCCCTCAAGCTGGAGCATACAAATTGTATGAACCAAGCTTGGAGCAAATGAACTCAATCCGAGGTCCCCTTAATGACTTGGTTAATACATCTGCAAGTTGGTCATTTGATCCAACGAACTTAGGACAAATTTTCTTAGACATTAATTTTTCCTGAACAAAATGGCAGTCGATTTCTATGTGGTTAGTCCTCTCATGAAACACCGGATTTGACGCAATGTGGAGAGCAGCTTGGTTGTCACAGGACATCTTCATGGTATAGATTTCACAGAAAGTAAACTCCTGAAGAAATTGTTTTACCCATATGAGTTCACAAGTAAGAGACGCTATTGCCCGATATTCAGCTTCACCGAATGATCAGGTCACTACATTTTGCTTCTTACTTTTCCATGAGATAACATTTCTTCCAAGGAAGACACAATATCCTGTAGTAGAGCGTCTCTCAATAGGGGAGCCTGCCCAATCAGCATCACAATACCCAGAGACTTGAACTTTTCCTTTATCTTCATATAGTAAACCCTGTCCAGGAGCCTTCTTGAGGTACCTTAAAATACGGATGATGGCATTCTAATGTCCAAGATATGGAGTCTGCATAAACTGACTAACCACTCCAACTATAAAAGATAGATCAGGTCTCGTAATAGTAAGATAAATTAGTTTTCCAACAAGCCTCCTATATCTCTCTGGATCAAAGAATAATTCACCTTCTTCTGTCGTTAGCTTCTGATTTGGGTCCATAGGACTATCTACTGGTCTACAGTCAATCATGCCTGTTTCTTGTAATATATCAAGAGCATACTTCCTTTGAGAGATTACAACTCCATCTTTTGACTGAGCTACTTCAATGCCCAAGAAGTATTTGAAGCTTTCAAGATCCTTGGTTTGAAAATGTCTACACAAGTACTCATTTAGTTGAGATATTCCAGTAGTGTCATTTCTTGTAATGACTATATCATCAACATATACTATTAGGTAAACACATTTCCCAAGAGATGTATGACAGTAAAAGACAGAATGGTCTCCTTCACTATGTCTTAGCCCAAATTTTTGAACAATGGAGCTGAATTTTCCAAACCAAGCACGTGGTGATTGCTTGAGGCCATATAAAGAACGATGCAATTTGCATACCATACTAGACTCTCCCTGATCAACAAACCCAGGAGGTTGCTCCATATAAACCTCTTCCTCAAGATCACCATGGAGGAAGACATTTTTTATATCCAATTGATGAAGTGGTCAGTGACGAATGGTTGCCATTGCAAAGAAGAGACGAATAGTCGTCATCTTGTCCACGAGAGAGAAAGTGTCACAATAATCAAGACCATAAACCTGAGTGTATCCTTTTGCAACCAATCAAGTTTTGAGTCGACCAACTTGACCATCAGGGTCAACTTTAACTACATACACCCATCGGCAACCAACAACCTTCTTACCCGGTAGGAGGGGCACGAGCTTCCAAGTATGACTGTGTTCAAGAGCCTGCATCTCTGCAATCATGACTTGTCGCCATCTAGGATGATCAAGTGTTTCATTCACATTTTTTGGAATAACAACAGAAGATACTGAAGATAAAAGGGAACAATAGGAAAGCGATAATCTGTGCTAGCTAAGAAAATTATAAATGGGATGTGGGTTTCGAGTGGAACGAGTACCTTTTTTGAGAGCAATGGGCCAGCCTGAATCACCTTCACTAGGAGTCATGGTATTAAGGGACGAGGGGGAAGCATCTGAAGTAAGGGATTCACCATGTTCTTAAGAGATGAGCCTATCTGTCTCGGGGGTATGAAAAGTTGGAGATGATGGCTCAGGAGGACTGTGATCAAGACTTTGACCAGGATTGACAGAGACATTGGAAATATTGT